ATCAGAGAGTCGGTAGACTCTCTATCTATATAGGGACGACACGGGTGAAATCTCACGTGATCCGCGTACAAAACGACTAAAAACTCGGTGAGAATCACTCCCTAGGCCTTCAAAACATACTAGCAATAGTCTACGGGCCCATATCTACCTATATATGTCCCCCAAGACCTCATACGCACCTTCAGTCGTCCACGCGAGAATTCGCTCATACGCGATTTCACGATTTTCGTGTCATCATCATCATCATAATTATTCTTCATCTTCTTCTTCTCTTCTTCAGACCCGCTAGCTCCTTACCGGAAGCACTTGAAGTGTTGATTTTTTCACAGAACGTCTCCAATATCGCCGGAGGTGTGCACGCACATCAAGCGATCGTTTGTTTCTTGCCGCAAGTCACTACGGTAGATCGTTGAGCTCTTCCTCGGTAGTCACTGAACAACGCTAACTCAGCATCAGTGAGCCGCATGCGCAGAGGAGGGCGTTTCCAATGCTGTGCCCGCGCATTTTGTCTCGTAAACCTGGTCCACGAACGAGACTAAGCCAGGACTGGATGCCTGCAGAGAAAACTACTCTCATCCTCCAGTGCCTTCTGTAAGTCAGTGTACACATTTGTAACTGGCTAGCTTGCGTTTTGCTGTTGATTTGCACGAGGAGCAACTTGGCAATCTGCGCCGTGTTACGCGTGCCTTGCCCAGCGCCTTCATTCTTTGTTCCCCCAGGTTATAGCTATCATTGTAGTCTGGTTTCTGAAGCCTGCCCAATGAAACCACCACCATATGTGCCACAACCTAATCGCATCCTTGTTGGAGACACTACGCATACACCCTGCTTCAGGTAAGAGCAGTCCATTTATAGCTTCTGCTTTCAACAGTTATCTCTACAACATAGCCATGAACATCAAAGTGACTGAAAATGCAGTGTTGTCATAAGCTGTTAAAAATAGTGGAAACAAGTGGAAAAAATCATTTCTTCAAAATGAAAGTGGGATATAGGGATGACTTGAAGCACCAAAAAGGAAGAAACAAGGGGTCATTACACACCAAATATGCACAAAGCCACATGACACCATCCCTATATCTTTGTTTTATTGTTCATAAGCAAAGTTTAATATGACAAAGATATAGGGATGGTGTCATGTGGCTTTGTGCATATTTGGTGTGTAATGACCCCTTGTTTCTTCCTTTTTGGTGCTTCAAGTCATCCCTATATCCCACTTTCATTTTGAAGAAATGATTTTTCCACTTGTATGTAATATATGTCACACGGTATTGTCTGCAATAATTATGCTATATACTGCTATAATATTAATACGAAGGGAACAAAATGTTCATGCTGAAGTAGACACAATCCGCATCAGTTCTGTGCTATGTCAGTAACTATGTATGTCTTTTGAATGTCAGTGTAGAGTTCCCTCCAGCCTCCAGGGGAGCTCCCAGTGTTCTGGCCTCTTCAGTGTAGGCAGCCACATCCTCTGCCGTCCATGTCAGCAACTTGAAGTCTGGACGCATGAGCCCAACTTGAATCTCAGGAAAGGTGGGTCTGGAATCTGGCTCATGGTTCCTGGAAAGCAACATAAACTCACAAACACCTAAAACAACCCTTACCAGCAGTTGATCATGGTCTGATAGACTGCTCTAGGACATCCAGGTGGGGGAGGGAGACGATATCCTGACTGGATCTTCTGGTAAACCTACAAAATTACAGTTCATTCGTCAAACACCAAATCTTATTCACATGGGTTAAGGGCTGTATATACCTCACTATTAGTGAGTTGGATGTATGGCTTGATGCCTATTGTCCATATCTCATAGAGGACAATTCCAAAGCTCCACACGTCACTGGCAGTCGAGTACTTCTTGTAGTGGAGAGCCTCGGAGCTGTCCATTCACAGGGATTTTCCCTCACGAGAGAGCATAGTAGTCAGTTGTCTTGCAGAGCTCGATGACATGCCACACTTAAGTCAGCATATCTGAACTACCAGTCATGTTTCATTTAGTATCACAACTTTCACGTATTACTTATTCGAAACATATGCAAGAATGCCTAATCTAATTCATTACTGACACTCCTTACACAGAAACATGTCTAACAGTATCGCAGGCTCACTTTCATGCACTCATGTCACACACTAACAGACTAATTAGCTCATGGAGATACTGTATACTAAATAAGTCACGAACATCAATAATATGGTCAAGTATTTACTTGCAGACGGTCATGCTTAGACACGAGGATATTCTGGCACAGCCAGGTCTCTGGGGATCTCGAAGCCTTCTACTGATGAGGTCGGCCATCCCTAAGGCTTATGTGGCGTACAGAACGACAAGACAGAAAGATCTAATGAAGCCAAGTCAATCGGCCGGGCAGGGAGATGCAGGGAAACGTGATAGTGGGCTTACCTGTGGATTTGCGGGAGATAAAAACAAGACAGTTGAAAGGGATTAAGAATGCTGTTAGGGATATCATAGCTTATGTGCTTACGAAAGGCTTAGCTGGGAGGTAAGTACTCATTTCACTTGAAGATCACCAATGTGCATCATCACTCAAATTACGACTCATGCCATGTCTGGAATGATAAAACAGGTAAACAGCCTTGTAATCAACCTCCATCTGCGAATGAGATTGACTGAGACTTTTGGAAGAAGCAGCCAGGGAAAGAAAATTACCATGGAGGAGATGGGTGTGATGATTGACAATTGGGATGTTTTGAATGAACTGGCCATTGATGCGAATACTGCAAGGAACTATGGAATACGTTTTCTCCTTGGGGAGCCCCATCATGCCAGGGACTTGATTCAGCCACATCCATCTCCTCTCACCCCACACTCCACACCTCCCTCCTGCACCACACCAAACTCACCAGCTACCACAGACCTCATAGACCAATCTGATACAGAAAGATTACACAGTGTGGTAACTTTACATTTGTTGACATTTCCATGAACAGTAAGTCATATATATGCCAGTGTACATCACTGTGACCATATCGAGAACCACACAGTGTGGTTGGCAAAATTAGAATAGTCGGTGACATTTATAGCTCAGGAAGGTATGCTAATCCGTATTCATGTGTCGATGGGGGCGTGAGGGGGCACTGTCGGTGGTGGCGGGGGCGGCTAAGCGTTGTAGCTGTAGTAGACGCACGCGGCAGACTACCTTCAGCGCCACGGCGCGCCGCTCGCCGCAGGGGAACGGCGGCGGTCGTCGATGTGACAAGGCAGCGCCAGGGACGGCTGGAGAGCCTGGAGTAGCTAGACGTCTAGCGCTCAAGCATCTGCAGCTGGTTCCGTCTCTCATGAAGCGCTCGCATCGATCGGCCGCTAGTCCGCGCATTATCATCAACATGTACCGTTCGACTCTGAGGCTGATGCCTGCCACCTGCTTGTCAAGGTGGTACGTTCTTAACAACTCGATCGGTCGCACTCGCTGATAACACGACGCTCGCGCCGAGCAGTGCAGCCTCGCTCAGTAGGGATACGACGGGACGAGTCCTTGCTGCGTTCTTCGAGCCCGTGAGGTGATGTCTGCAAGCTAGCATAATGAGAAATCGCTCGACGCCCTGACTGCACCCATGCGATCGCTGCCAGGATTGGCATGTCGCGAGCATCTGCGCTATCTCGCCAGAAGTGGTCCAGAGA